GGCCATGATCCTCTACGACATCCCCGACATCCGCCTGTTCTGGAGCGAGGACGAGCGCTTCCTGGGGCAGTTCCGCGTGGGGGACATCGAGCAGAGCGTGCGCTTCCAGGTACGCGGTGGGAAAACCAGCCTTCAGGAACTGAGGGGGTCGTGTACTTGAAAAGAAAATTACTGCACTGAAAGGTAATGTGACTTTGAAAAGAGGCTTAACGAGAGATTCATAAACCCCAGAGGAGACCGTAAACCTTCAGGAATTACATGCGGAGAAAAGGGATTTATCAGGCCTGTTGGTCCAAGCAGAGGACCAACCTTGGGCTTTGTTAATGGCCGTTTTATCATGAAATACTCATCTTTTCACTGATGAGACTTTCACAGTTTCGTTTTTCTCATTTAATATAAACACATTGGCTTTCTTACGATTACTGTTTTTCTAATATATATTTTTTCATCATTTCATTTTCACTCTTATCTTTATATCAAAAGTGTGTCTCTTACAAACAGGGTCTTTTTGTAAACCCAGATGTAATTGGAGTGTTGAACACATCTTACATTTAATACAATTACATGGGACATTCTTGGATTTCATTTTATCATCTCTTTAGTTCTTACCTGTTCTCTCCTTTTAAAAATGTATTTGGAAATTGAGGTTTTATGGGGTTTTTGGTTTTTTTTTAACTCCGCTTTATTAGCCCTATTGCTATTTAGTTTCATAATCTTTGTATGATTTTAAGTGGTTCTTCTACACAGTGTGCATAATTAGTTCATCACACTTTACCATGGATAACTACTACAACTTTATGAAACATTTAAAGACCTTGCAGTGGTGTGATTCTGTTTCCTGCTCCTGTTTCTTGTATCATTATTGTCATGTTTTACCTCTCTCTGTGTTATAATCTCGCAGAAATTGTTCTCTTCACTTCAAATAGCCGATTGTCTTTTAAAGAAATTTGAAACTATGTTGTTTCTTATCTCCCTCAGTATTTACCCCACTGATTACCGTTCCTTTCTGCCCATCTTGATTCTTCTATGTGATCATTTCCCTGAAGTCTGAAGAACTTCCTTTCCTCTTTGTTATATAGTGCAGCATGAATTTTCCCAGCCTTTGTTTGTCTGGAAATGCCTTTGTTTCACCATTATTTTTTAGGAATATTTTCCATGGATATTGGTGTCTAGGTTGCCAGTGTTTGTGCGTTTTTTTTTTTCCTTCTTGAAATGTGTCATTTAATTTATCTTTTTTACTCTGCTTTTTAGCAGGTCGGCTATGTATGATTTTCTGTGTGATTTATCCTGGTTGGGGTCGCACAGTGCTGGAGTAGTGTCTTTTTCACTGTCGTGCAAATGCTCATCATATCTCTTCCAACAATTCGACTCGCTTCCTTCTTTGCTTTGCAGGCTGCGACTGCATGTAGATCAACCATTTGGAATTATGCCGGAAACTCTGGTGCCCAGCGTTTGTTTTTTTATTATTGATCTTATTTTTCACTCTGTGCTTCATTTTGGGTAGTTTTCGTTGTCTTGTCTTTGGGTTTACCAGTCTTTTCTCTTGTGTCCGGTTAACTCACTGAGCCCCTCAGTGAGTTAACCATTCCAGATCCTGTGCTCGTCTGTTCTACAGATTTCTATCTGCTTCCTTCGTAGAGTTTTTATTACTCTGATGAAATGCTGCATCTTCCCACCCATCTTGTTTCCCTTCAGTTCTTCAGCATGTTCACAGTCGTGATTTTTAAGTCCTGGTCTGTTATTTCCAGCGCTTATTTCCCTGCTGTTCTCCTGTTAGTCTCCCCTTTCTTCTTACTTACGGGTCACCTTTCTCCTGCTGCTTCGCTTGTCTTATTTTTTGAGTTGTGTTTAAAAGAACACAGGAGCAGAAGTGGGCGATGCATCCTCAGGGAGCCTTCCCCTTTCCCCGGTCAGGTGGCGAAGGTGATGCGGCCAGCTTTCTCTGTTGTAACCGGGAGTGGGGACCGGATGCCTTGCTGGTGAGACCCGGCCGTGCGGCAGAGCTGGGGTCTGCGTGTGCGGCCGCGAGAGCTCTCTCTGCTTTCCGCCGGTTGCCGGCTTCTCCCACCACCAGCGCTTGCTAAGCAGAGCTGTCCTGAAGGTGAATTGGCTGGCAGTGAGGGCAGGCTGTCCCGTGTTTTCCAGTCTGCCACACCAACCAGACTTGGTGATAAAAATTTGGCTCATTTCTTGTAATTCCAGCAGAATTTCTTCCTTAACAGCAGCAGGCCTTCTGCCCACCCTGCCCAGGGGTGGGGGCAGCCTCCGGGGTCTGCTGCCCGCCGGGCCCCCCTCTCTCCGGGATTTCTTTCCTGCCCGCGGGCGTCCAGGTCTCTCCAGTATCTTTCATGGCAGGAGAGTTCTAAATCTATTGTTTTCTTATTGTTACAGTGGGATCGAAGGGTTTTTTGTGACATTTTGTGTCCTAACCAAAAGCGATACCTCCTGTCATTTGTTTAATTTTCTGGTTTCCATCTTTAATGGCCTTAAAAAAATCCTATTCAAAAGAAATAAGCTATTAATTTTTATTCTAGCACCAGGTCCTTCTAGGTT